TAACACTAGAACTACCAAGCAGTCGAGTTGACTTCTCCAAATTTTTCTATAGAAACGCCAAGAGCACATCTATCGAGACTTCGATCACTCAAAACTTAGCTTGCGTATGGATTTCATAATTGATTTTCTTAATCTTGCATCGAACAATCCTAATTTTATTCGATGTACGAGGTACGAGGATGTTAACACTTGTTAACACTTTATCTAGCTATTAATAGACTTTCCAGTAACTTAGAATCTCATATTAAAAAATCACCTAATAATTTTTTTTGATCAATAGTTCTCACACCATAATTACATTATATTACTCAATACGATTTGCTGATTGGAAATCACGATTATCATTGACATTAAAACATTCATGAAGAAATCTTCGGATATTAATCACTAATCTTCGATAAACCATTCGCTAACCATCAGTAGATAATATCTTACAAGAAAATATCTCTTGAATCCCCATGAAAAATCTGTATAGAGCTCCGATTTCGCGGCACAACGCAGTGAATCGAATCGAACTCTTCTTGGGGATCGATTTTTCCTGAGTAAATGGATTCGTATTTCTCGTAGGGGCTGGAACCGGGAGACAGATGCATCCATCCGTATTGTTATTCCCGTTCTAAAAGATTTTGTCGTCGAAAACACGCGTAAATCTTCGCCGCGTAGCGCCACCGATAAAATTCGCCCGGCCCCGCGCGGATTCTCGAATCCCGAGATCCGCGAAGGTCGAATATTTTGATGCCGAACGAAAGCCACGGGATCACCGCGCGTCGTTTCTCTTCACGCCGGGACGTGCGTTGGATTTACGGACAAAACAAAAGCGGAACTATCCAAGGGACGAACTTTGATTCATCCTTCACGAGAATCTTCTGTGTATTGTTCGTGTCATTTTGCTATTATTTCGTAACAGAGATGAATAGAGGCTACTAATTACGGCACTGAAATTAATAATTGTTTGGTATCGTAAGTCTTATACAATTGAAGCAGTTATTGATGATCGTGGCAGTCAACGTGTTAACACTAGAATTATTAGAATCGTATCATTTGAAATAAATAATTTCAGTTGTCTTGTTTTGCAACTATTTTGAAAATGTTCATTATTTCAAATCATATGGAGAATTATATAAAGTATTCTATGAAGTACTGTGGAAAGAAATTTAAAAATATTTACTCATTATGCAACTCACAAGCGACTGTATCGAGTTGCAATTGTCACGATCGAGTTCGATCATTTTTCTTCTACTTCTGTCAGGACTTCAGCTTTCCCAGTTACCCCTGTCAGTTCAGTTATTCTTCTCCATCTTCTTCTTCTTCTTCTTCTTCTTCTTCTTCTTCTTCTTCTTTTTCTTCTTTTTTTGTTCCCTTTAGAAAATTGAAATCTCTTGCTTTTATTCTTCTTGCCAGGTAGATTCATTCCTCAGTCTTCCATATTGAGTTTAGGTACCCTTCGTTGACTACCCCTCCGAGTTCAGCTTCTCTTCTTTTGCTACCTCTGCAACCGAAACTACCCCTCCTCTTCTTCCTCTGCTAACTCAGCTCCTCTTCCTCTGCTTTCTGTTCCAGTTCAACCCTCTTTCTACATCCCCTCCGAGTTCTCCAACCCTCTTCTGCTCCTCCTCGAAATTCCACTCCCATTTTTTGCTGCCTATTTAAATTTCATCCCTCTTATACTTCGCCGTTCGTGGGTCCCGTCGTTCTGTACCGAATGTTACATTCGAAGAAGTCTTCTGTAGCAGGCACACGCGAGGAGAAATAATACACTAGCGGAATTAAATTCAACCTCTATGTTGCGTCGCATCCGACCTTCAATTCTTACGTTGGCAACTAAAATATTCGTACCCGTTCGGATTGTAGTGTTACAATATTTTTGCATAAATTTTCAGAATCAAAATGCAAACGATCCAATGCAATTCTGCCAAATTTTTGTGAGAATAGAACTACCTGAATCTTGCGAAAGAAAATATGGAAATGGTTATTCGACTATCAAACTGTTAACAGGATTCTTTTCTTCTCTTCAACTTCATCCACCGAGTTTCCGAGTGTTCGTTTTTCGTTAACCACAGGGGCTGAAGGGGGCATCATATCCACGTGTTGTTGTTGTTGTTGTTCTCGCGCGAGTGAAAACAGGGAGAAAGGAATACAAAACGGTTGGCCGCGAGTCTCGGGACAGCCACGAAAATACACGGGAGTTCGCACTGCAACGAAAATAAATTCACCGCGGAATGTCGCCGCGGGATTTCTGGAGTGGTTCCAATTTTAAAAACGAAGGCCCTGGCCCGCGTTCCGCTTCGAAAACGCGAGCCATCGGCAGGCTTAACGATCGTCGAAAGTGGAAACGGATGGCGACGCGCGGTGAACGTTCAGTTCGCGAGGCGCGCGGAGATTTAACACGTTCACGTCAGCGTGTACCACCAGTGGCTCACATTTCAATATTAAAAATGTAGACGATCCGAAGTAATTTGCTCAGACTCTCAGGAATGCATAATCAACTTGCGTAAAAGAAAAGATATTAAAAGAAAAAATATAAAATTTCCGTATTACAATATTCTCACGTAAGTTTGACTTCCAAAATGTAGACTCAAAGTAATTTGCTCAGACTTTCAGGAATGCATCAACTCGCGTAAAAGAAAAGGTATTAAAATAAAAGATATTAAAAGAAAAAAATATAAAATTTCCGTATTATAATATTCTCACATAATTTTGACTTCCAGAATGTAGACTCAAAGTAATTTGGTCAGACTTTTACGGATGCATAACTAAACTGTATAAAAGAAAAAATATTAAAGTAATGCAAACTTACATATCACAGTATCCTCGCGTAAACTTTGTTTTTAAAATGCATACGATCCAAAGTAATTTAGTTAGACTTTCAGGAATGCATAATCAAACCGTGTAAAAGAAAAGATATTAAAATGTTGCAAATTTTCATGTCACAATATTCTAGTGTAAATTGTGATTTTCAAAATGTATACGATCCAAAACAATTTCGCTAAATTTTCAGATCGTAACCAGATCATATACAGGATAATATGAAAAATACGTAGCACCAAATATATCGTTCGTTAAATTGGTTAGGTAGAAACGATTTCCATGTGATGCTTGAAAATTAATTTACGTGGAAGGGAACAGGTTACAAGGCTAGTTTCCTAGAGATTCAGCTGTTTCCAGCTAACTTGTCTACGGTCTTAGTAATTGCGGCGCGCTTGGATTATCGGTTAAACAACACGGTAACGTCAGTGGTAATTTGTAACAGTTTTTCTCTAAGTTTGCGTTTTCACGTGGGTATGTGCTTCGTAAATGACCTCTCGGGGTATACAAGCGCGACCGTTCAAGATTCCGAGACGTGATTCAGTGGTCGCGTTCGGCGGATGACAGTCGGCGAGCACCGTTGGACCGATTGACAAAATTATTGGACCGTAATTGTCTCTCTGAATCGTTTCCAACTGACCCATTAGTCTCGTCGCGCAGAGTTATACGCGACTCCCGATTGTCTCGGCGACAGCGACGACGCGCGCCGCGTTCTCGATTACAACGGCGGAAATCGTAAACCGAAGTCACTTTATTCGACGAATCCATTGGATTAGTCAGGCGAAGGCAACGGGAAGAGGGAAATAAAACGGAACGGACGGGAACGATCGCGGCTACGACGCGTTTACGAAACACGAGTCGCGCGTCTGCTTTCAGGATGATTCACTTTCCTCGCGGCGGAAACCGCTGAATCTCAGCTCGCGGTCCTCGGCCCTTATCGCGTTTGAAACTTCATACCCGGGCTTCGGTATCAGCATTTTATCTCGCGTCTTCGAGAAAATTCGCGAGAACCGCATTCCTCGTAGCAATGTATCGTTCTTCGCTGGATCTTCGGGAGAATCGGCAACACTTCGTAACCGAGTTTCAGTCGTTTTAATGGTTTAACCGTTTAATGCCTTGGGGGTCACCGGTGACCCCCAACTAAATTGTATTATTATAGTTCATTCAATTAAACGATGATTATCTGGAAACATTTCTATATTATGAATAATGCTAGCTAATGCGGTGACATTCAGCTAGATGAGCTTGCAATAATAACAATACAATTCAATCAAATGATTCAGTATTATATTTTTCCCATTTTGAGTATTTTGCTCTATGAAATCATGCGGCGTTCAACGTATTAACAGAAATATATGTTACTTGAAGTCGTTTCAGTATTACAGATATCTCTTAGTTGATTCGGTAATTGAAATTTTCGTGAAATTCCGATGGTTTGACAAAGATGTCTGATAAGGTGTATTAATCTCTTTGCTAATTCTAATCTGATCTACTGTCAACTTAAGTTAGATAAAGAAAATTACGAATTAATAATGAAATAATATAAATTTGTCCCTAAAACGAGCAAAGTCTATTTAGAGTTGGTTGACAAACACGCTGCAATATTCTGGGAGCGATAAGGGTTAACACGTTGAGTGCTACGTCAGTTCCTAGGGACTGACAGTAAACTTTCCGTTCAAGCGGCGTCAGTCCCCGGGGCTGACAGTAGACTTTTCGTTTGGGCGGTGTGGATTCTAAGGACTGACAGCGAACTTCTCGTTTGGTCGACATCGGTGCATGAGACCGGTACTTTAAAGGGTTAAATTATTAATGACAATTAAAAAATTTATGTTAAAATTTAGTGAAGTTTATTAAAACATTTTAAGCAAAGATGTGGCTGTGATCTGCACACATTACAGTATGTAACAACTTTCTTTGTAATTTTCCTCGCTACCTGGCGTCCGAACATTTTTGTGTTTGTGCTGTAACATTCAGCACAGTATTTTCGAACTTCATGCGCCTTTCCTTCCTTCCTGTGAAATTTGTGAATACGTCTACTTGTATCGCGATCTAGTTTAGCGTTCGGCATCAAATGCTCACGCGTTGCCGCCTGAACGGAAAGTATAGCAAAATCGGCGCCGCACTCAACGTGTTAAGGGCATACCGAGGCATATCTGATGGTCCTTGTAATGACCTTGTTGTTCCCGTTGTTTCAGCTGCGAGGGTTGCAAGGGGTTCTTCAAGAGGACCGTGCGCAAGGACCTGTCGTACGCGTGCCGGGAGGAGAAGTCCTGCATCATCGACAAGAGGCAACGGAATCGGTGTCAGTACTGCAGATACCAGAAATGCTTGGCGATGGGGATGAAGAGGGAGGCGGTGCAGGAGGAACGTCAGCGCACCAAGGAACGGGATCAGAGCGAGGTAGAGAGCACGAGCAGCCTCCACTCGGACATGCCTATCGAGCGTATACTGGAGGCTGAGAAACGAGTCGAGTGCAAGATAGAATCGCAGGAGAACTACGAGGTAAATATTCCGGTTAAACGAAGGCGAGCGTACCCAGCGCGTGGCCACTCGAAAAATCACGCTTGCCGGCAATGATGTGTACCGATTTAGGTCCACAACAGCCGAGGAAGCTTCCCGCAACTGCCGCTCCAAAGAGGTAATTCGTTTCCCCGCGAAAGAGCAACTCTTTTTTTTTCCTCTCCAAGAGTGTTATCCTTTCTTCTTAATCTACCCTCTTTTTCTTGCTCTACTCTTTTTTCCTTGCTCTACTCTTTTTTCCTTGCTCTACTTTTTTCTCCTTACTCTACTACTTTTTCCCTGCGAGAAAACTACTTTGTCCATGAAAGAGCAATCTTCTCCCTCCACGAAAAAGCTACCCTTCCGATTCTCTTCGCGAACTAGCGATCTCTTTCCTGCGCGAAGCAGTTACTCCTTTTTCACCGGAAGGTAGTTTCCTTCCTCCGCGAAAGAGCTACTCATTTTCTCCGTGAGAAAGCTACTCCTGTTCTTCGCCGGAAAGCATTCTCTTTCCTCCGCGAAAGAGAACCGCTCTTTTTTGTTTTCCTCGCAAGAGAACGATCTTCCCCCTACCCCCGCGAAAGAGCTATTAATTTTCTCCACGAAAGAGCCATTCTTTTCCCCCAGCTTATCCTTTCCCCCTGTGAGAAAGCGACTCTTCCGCTCGATCCCGTCGGATTTCCTGTTTAGTCGTGTCATTACCGGCAAGCGTAGCCTCGCGTGGACGCGGCGCCCAGCATCAGATGGTCCCATTCTTTGGACAACGAAACCGAAACGTGACACGAACCGATCCCGACGGAATGGAAACTTAGTTACTCATTCTTCCTTTCTTTCTAGTCCTCGATGACATCTTCAGTGAATTATGTTCTGATCGTTTAAGCGAACAGGATTGGACGCCGCTGGTCCCGAAGAGGATGATACGCCTCGGGCGAATTAAAAAGCCAATCCTGCCGGGATTAAACGCGCAATTTTTCGGCCCTGGAATCGAATTCCGAGTGAGTCGCCGTCGTCGTCGTCGTTTGAGACGAACCCGTTTCTATCATTAGTACCGTATTCTCGCCTTTTCGTATTGGTTCGCGTGCCACGCGCGGATAACGTGGATGTCATCGAGTTCGCTCTCACGACACGATAGGCCGGAATCGATTCATTCGACATTGGGATAGCGACCGATCCAGATCGGATTAATGCCTCGTTTAACCCCTTAACCGACGAATTAAATCGGAGAAATCGTTCGTGCTGCGCTGAATTCTTTTACTGCGTTACGCGAGCTGGAATGTAAAATCGAAGAAAAACATTGTTGTCGAACACTCTGTCGAGTGTTCTCATTATTTATTGCGTTGCTAGTGAACACTCTTCATTGAAAGACAATTTAGATATTTTTCGCCAGTCCTTGATTGCCTCGGGCTCGATAGTTAAAGAGTTAAAGACGCCCTTCAGCGGCTACCCGGTACGATCGTTTCATCTCTCGTAGCCGAGAGTAGTTCAGAGATCTATCGACTTCGATGGATAAGCGAGCTGCTCGGGGTTGTTCGGGAATAACCGCGCCGCGAACGGAGTCCGTGTAGGAGGCACGTTTGTATTTAAAATAGATTGACCCACGACGGTTACCTATGGTCTTAAATGAAATTCATCGCGCAGCGATTGGCCATTCCTATTGTGCGTCTATCGTTGGATAGGCAGGCGCCTCGTGTTATTTTATTCCCGTAAACACGACGCTTGTAACTTTATTGTGTCCGCTCGAATTGACGATGATCTATCATTTTCAGTGAAAATTATTTACTGGTTACTGAAAAATGATATTGTATGCCGTATACGTTTCACGAAGAAACTTTCCAAGAAACACTGAAGCTCGGGGGTGAATATAATGTAGTCTTTACTTATCCGTGACAAGCTGTAGATAAATAAAACTCTACTTTTTCAAAGTTTGTAGAACTAGGGGATTTTCATGAAGTTCCTCCGATCGTTCACGTATAATTTATAACCCCGACGCATCTAGAAAGGAAAATCTCGGATAATTTCGAGCAGTACGCTCGTTGCTAGTGTTCACGTTCCAAGGAACGAAAGAAACGTAATCCCGCTGGAAGATCGCCTAGATCTAGCCCTTCCACGATCGAAAACTTGACACCCCTGTGAGAAAAACCGCTTGATAACCCTGCCACGGTCGTGTCAATTAACACTTTACCTACCGGCATCCGAATAACTGAATTTCTGACTGCAGCTCTTTTACCTACCGAGATCGAAAAATTGATTCAATGCCAACGCTTATCGAATGGAATTTTTCAAAACCGATACTTATGGGAGAATTAACATATTCCATCAATTATGTTATTGTTCGCGTGTTAATGATCGCATTATAAGCTTTCCACACGCGTTAAATTGAAAAGGCTAACATGAATCGAATAAATACTGCTAGGAGATCACTTGATGGAATCATTTCTGAATTACTAATATTTCTGATCACTATTTGCTGTTCGTCAATACGGTTGCACGTATTGCCATTGAACGAATGACACTTCTCGCCCCTGTGCCATACCGCTAGATATCAAGTCATCTCCCGACTGTACATCGCTGGCATTAGTGACGTGTTTTCATAGCAGTAAGCCGGTAGGGAGTGTACAGCAGATTTAGCTGCACCTGTAGGTAAAGTGTTAAGGCGAGCCGGTTTCGGCAAATTTTCGGGGCGCGTGACAACCGCACGGACAAACGGGGAGAGAAAGAGGAGAGAGAGATATAGAGAGCCATCCGCTAAAGACTCATCACTCCGTAAAAGTTTTCTCGTACGTGTTCTGTTCTCTCGCGTGCCGTGGCGGTTGTTTTTCGTGGAATGGTGTTGCGTAGCTGTTCCACGAAACGCCCCTTCAATTAATGCAGCATCTCTTGTAATGCACAGAATGCAGTGTCGCGCATTTGCGACAATCAGCTGTTCCAGCTGGTAGCGTGGGCGAAGCACATCCCGAATTTTACGTCGTTGCCATTGGAGGATCAGGTCTTGCTGCTGAGAGCCGGGTGGAACGAGCTGTTGATCGCCTCCTTCTCCCACCGTTCCATCGATGTGAAGGACGGTATCGTGTTGGCAACGGGGATCACCGTCTATCGGAACACGGCGCAGCAGGCTGGCGTTGGTACGATATTCGACCGCGTGCTATCCGAGCTTGTGTCCAAAATGCGCGAGATGAGGATGGACAGGACCGAACTCGGCTGTCTCAGGTCGGTAGACGATCGCGGGTGTTTCTCGAATGTTCGAAATAAATTGGCGAAATGTATAATGGTTGATTCTATTTTGTCTCGTAAGTGTCATTGTTATGACGATCGTTGTTCAAATGTAGGACAACGCATAGGCTGAATGCCAATGTCGATCAATTCCTCGCGCAGCAAACTCTCGCTCACATGAAATATCACGCATCCACAGGGCTATTATTCTCTTCAACCCCGAGGTGCGAGGGCTGAAATCGATCCAGGACGTGACGAAGCTCCGAGAGATGATCTACGCGGCCCTGGAGGGTTACTGTCGCGTGGCCTGGCCCGACGACGCGGGCCGATTCGCGAAACTGTTGCTACGCTTGCCGGCGATCCGATCGATCGGATTGAAGTGTCTGGAGTACCTGTTCTTCTTCAAGATCCACGTGCCGATCGACGAGTTCCTCGTGGAGATGCTCGAGTCACGATCGGACCCTTAGGAGCAAAAGGTGTGCCGCGTGTTGGGGCACA